GAAAAAAGACAAAAAATATAACCTTAAGCAAGAATGATAGAATACAAGATTGCGCCAATCGAGCTGAGAGCAACTGGCCGTGACGTCAAAAAATACCAGAATGAGAGAGCAAGACGAACTCGACAAGAAAAAGAGGAAGCATCGACCAATAGGCAGTGTTGCCAAGTTTTGACTTTGAAAAAGCACCAAATTTTTATTGGTGTATTTTATGGACTTGATATGAATACATAATTTTATTGTAAGGATGCCGATTCAAAAATCAATGTTTCTTGCACAACGGTATATTTCTTCTGGCATGATTGAAGGTGCTGCCACATATTTCTTTGTCACTTATGATTGTCACTGAGCCACGATTGAGAGAATACAAAGGTTGCGCCGATCTCGGTACCGCTATTTTTCTCTTAACGAATTTGACAGAATCGTTGTTTGCATGACGTCACACTGGTGCAACTTGTTTACGTTTTCCTTGCAACATTTTTTCTTCTTCTTCCATTCTTGCTCACGTTTTGGCATTTCTCTCTCGCAATTGCACCAGTGTGACGTCACACAAAAGTTATTCTCAAAAATCCTCTCTGATCGGCGCAATCTTGTATTCTATCATTCTTGTCACTGAGCCATGATTTTGTTTAAATTTTTGTAAAATTGCTTACCACACTTACGATTGCTATAAATTCTGCTTAAAATTTTTTAAGATTTTCTAATTTGGTGTCTTCAAACTAAAAACAAAAGCATCAAAAACGCACCAAGCACAAAACTCAAAAATTTTCGCGTTTTGAATACCCACTAAATTTGGTGCGAAAAGCATGAAGTTGGCAACAGTGAATGTAAACAAAAGTATTTTATGACGTCAGCGATTGGGTGGATGCTGTCAAATCGACGAAGAGAGGGTTAGCGGTCTGTGAATGGCGCGACCTTTATTTTCTGGATCGTGAACCTTAAGCAAAAGCAGATGTACATATGTATGTATGTATGTATGAATATTGGTTATGAGACAAAATAGATATGTAACGCAAGTTTCACTTCTCCAGTGTGGACCAGGCGCACTTACTTTTTTTATTAATCCGGCTGCTGGGCTATTCTAATAATTTTTTTGACTCTTACTATTAAATATGAATACAAAATTATGAAAAATTAAGCAATCTAAATATAAACGCTTTTTTTTAATTTGGTTGTCTATAGACTGTTGCAGTACTTTATTAAAAAAATATTGGATTATATCAAAGATACATGAATACGTAATGTATATTTTGGTAGATTTTCCCCAGGATTTTTAAAATAACGGACTGCTCCGAGCTCCGGGTGTTAAAACACTGGCGATTATAGCAGTTATATTTTAAAAATTTCTGTTCAAAGCACTAGCACAAGAATTTACTGATTGCTTCTTCTCAGTCCTGCGTCTGGTTCAAAATTCGCAATGCATGTCTAAAAGAAGCCAGTATTCTCTAAAAGTTTGGCGCAGGCTGCCTTGGTGCAGACATTGTAATTATTTCGAGTTATGCATTTTATGTAGATTGCAGGAAATTTGCATTTTTTCATCAGCTTTAAAGTAAATCGGCCGCATTTTTATTTTATTTTTTATCAAGCCACATTTAGCACGAGCATCAATACATATGTATGTATGCACTATATGCAGGGGCATTGTGGACGAGTTAGAAGCTTTGCTACAAAATTCGCCAAACATTTTAAATGGTCGCAGGTCACATAATACCAATAATTCCCAATTGTGCTTAATTCCCTCAAGTACATATATGATGTATTACCTCTGCGTCCTTTAAATACATTATTCCAAGCGCTACAGTATTATCAATATGATTTGGTGATGCTAAGTTCTACATACATATTTTTGTTAAACAAATTTAAAAATTAGTTTCATTAAAATTTTTTGACTGCAATAGTGCTGCAGCAGTTGAAGTAGAGGCAGCCATCTGTACGCCGTTACTACCATTTTTCTCGGTAGTATATCTGTTGCATCCAATGCCTACAGTGTAAGCCACTACTGTTGCATGATCTAGCTTTCCCGGCAAGGAAGAAAAAGCGCTGCTATCCACCACTCGTTTGCGTGCCCCTCGATGTTGCATTCTATTTAGTTGGACCTCTCGTTTGATTCCGTCTGGACCTGTTGCTAATTTGTAAAAAAGCTCTCGTTGTTCAAGAGTCTTTCGCCGCGCTGAGGTTATCATTCTAACGAAATCAATTAGCAGATGGCATAGTCGCCTGGCTGATGTGCATGGTGAAAATGTTCCATTAATACCATAGCTCAGGAGATCCTCTAGTCTATAGAGCGTGAGTGCATGACGTTGTGGCCCAGTAACTAAGGGTAGACCGGAAGCCGATTTCGGTATCTTTGGTTGGAGGGCAGAAGCAAGTTGTGCTTGTCTTGTCGTAGAGTGGCCTGCTACGGAAAGGCGTCTCGGTTCTATCACAGTATGTGAACGCATATACTTTGGTCGACTAGGTGCACCAGCAGCACTACTTGTATTAACGTCTTCTGGTGATGGTGATTTCTTAGTGCGTGGTGGCCGTGTTGGTGCGTTTGCTGGTGAAGTCGGTAGTGACTCAGTCTCGCTCCTTTGTTTGTGGTTGTGATGTGTGTGATGAAGACGGGCATAAATAGATGATGCGCTCTTATTTTGCCGCTTTGGAGCCAAATGATGTTGCCCTTGTGCNGCACTACTTGTATTAACGTCTTCTGGTGATGGTGATTTCTTAGTGCGTGGGGGCCGTGTTGGTGCGTTTGCTGGTGAAGTCGGTAGTGACTCAGTCTCGCTCCTTTGTTTGTGGTTGTTATGTGTGTGATGAAGACGGGCATAAATAGATGATGCGCTCTTATTTTGCCGCTTTGGAGCCAAATGATGTTGCCCTTGCGTCGTGGAGCTCGACATCAATTTAACTTCCGGAGTCCATGCTTCAGCGAACTTTCCAACGACTGGATCGAAATTGTCACTTATTCCATCCGAAGTTAAGAATACAATGTCGCCTTTTTCAATGACAGTCATTGATAAAGTTAGGTTTCCTAATTCTGGCTTGTTTCCGTCGGCAGGCCCGAGAGCACCTAATGCATCACGCATGTCCCGCATTGAGGTTATATCGTGTGATGCTTGTGTAAACTCGCGTACGCCATATTTTTTTGAATACACGTATCCCAATGAGTCACCAACATTGCATGCGCAAACAACGTATTTGCCACAATTTTCGGTTCTGCCCTCTTCAAACAGGGGTAATACCACAGCTACTGTAAGAGTACTCAGCGAACCGCCCACTTCTAGAATGCAGCCATGACCCTCCCACAAGCTACGAAGAAGACTAACAAATACTTCCGTGGTGGAAGTGGCCATGCACTCTCGTGCCAGACCGAATATTGCTCGATCCAAATAATCAAGACAACCATGTACAGCGGAACGTGCAGCTAAACGGGCACCATCTCCCCAATTGACACCATCAGCAAGCGCCATCGCTGCTGCATCTCCTCGTACTACGATGCCATAGCAATCGGCGATAGGACTGCCCATTGGCTCTTTTGTCAGCATGTTGGTCTCGTACAGAGACACTGAAATACCGTAAGCATAATCAGTCTCCATGTGCCAATCCGATACACCAGCAATGGCATCTCCCATAAAACTACCGATACCTTTGCAACTGGTTACTTCAGACTGATTCGAAACCGCTTCACGGAGCAAACGTTCGGTTGTATTATCTAATAAAATCTTTGTGGAATTATCTACTTCATTATTTTTTTGAGCCAAATCGGTTTTTTGTGCTTCTTTTGTATCTGAAGAATCTACTAGAGATTTGGTTGTTTTCATACCTTCACTTCTCGGCGAATTTAAGATATTCTTGTTATTTTGATCTGCTGCATCACTAGATACTAACTTTGTGCTTACCATTNTCTGAAGAATCTACTAGAGATTTGGTTGTTTTCATACCTTCACTTCTCGGTGAATTTAAGATATTCTTGTTATTTTGATCTGCTGCATCACTAGATACTAACTTTGTGCTTACCATACTTACCACAATGGTTGTGGATTTGTTAGCATTATCAGTGGCCTTTTTGGTTTCCGTAGTAGAGGTTGTTTCATTTACCGTTGACTTATCCGAGTCTTTAGCAGTACTTACTGAATTTATATTACTTTGCATCTTACTGAGATTGGAAATACTGGTGCGAGAGTTTTTGCGTGAGCGCATACCAGATGTCTTGTTTGCATTTTGATCACCGATTGGCGTTATGGCACTGTTGCTTAATTTACGTGGCGTACCTCCAAAACGACTATATTTGTTTTGATTACGACTGTTTGTGTTAATACTTTTTCGAACCTCGAAGCAATCACTCTCTTGATTAGTGTCAATGAAGTCAATATCATCTGCATAACTTGCACTTAAATGCAATTTTGAGCGCTTTATGCCAGTGAGTCCTTCGTCAGGACCGGTACAAGCGGCAGTTATGGTGGTGGGACCAGTTGGGTAAATACCAATTTTCAAATCTGGCAAGTCGGTTGGATTTTGTCCATTTGAAATCTCTGGACTAGGCACAAACTGACGCTCCATGCGACCCTCTAAATATTTTATAATAAAGTTATCATCATCTGAAGCTTTACGTGCTCCTCTGGGGCTATCGCGTGGCTCAGCAATAAAACTTAATTGACGAAAATATGTTGTGACTTTTTGACGTAGCGACGGCATCTTTGATGCTTGGTGTTTTTTCTTGCCTTTGTTGTACCTCTTAGTCACTTTTTCTTAGTAGAATGAGTAAAAACCCCAACTAGTCTGAGATCAATTTAACGTCATTGTGCTCTCACTAATTATTACAATTAAGAAAAGAAATGCAAAACGGGGGTTGGTAACTTTCCAAATTCTTTTGTCTGCTAAGCTGATGCTCCATATGATAATACGACTGTAAATTATAATATTTGAGTACTCTTTTGGCTGCATAGATATTTTAACTTTACCCGTATTGTTTGTTTGTATATAAGTATAAAGCCTTTGTTCAATCGCAAGGCCAAGTTTTGTCTTCTTTGTAAGGCATTGTTTTCACAATTCCAGCGGGGTGGGCAAAACTCATTTCAGTTGAAATCAGTTCAATTAAGTGTTCTTCATCATCTGTAATTGCATAGATAATTAAAAAAGTGTTTATCCATTTGTTTAACATTACCAAATTACAATCTGGTGCCTAAAATAAGAGAAATACTATTAATACTATATTATTTTCAATAGTGTTATTATCGATTGTTTTTACCAATGCACTTGTTATGATATGAATAAGCTCATTATCACCAGTGTTGCTGTTAATCAATGTCGACCCGTCATTGTGCCATTAAACTCGATGGAATTAATTACCTCAAACTATTTAAGGTTTAATTTTTAAAAAGTTAAATTAATTTGTTTTATCTTCGAGTAAATAAATAGAATACATTCTACGTTCAGAATGAATATGTTTCCTTTGACGTTTTTTTTATTCTCTGGCTAATAAAATTAACCGCAATTGCCAAAGTTATTAGTTGTGTTTTTTTACAAATTATCCAGTAACTTGCCAGCAACTCTCCAGTAACTTTATTTCTAAGAATTCGCTCTCAAAGAAAAAAATTGCAATAAAGTACGCGAACGCTTTTCCAGTAACAATTTGCAAGTTTCATGAACAGCTGATAAATTGGTTGTTTATTCGCAGCAAATTCCTAATAAAACAATATATTTTGTATTTAAATAGGTTTATTTTGTGAGATTCAACAATAAAAACCCACAAACAGTTTCCTTATTAGTTTAAATTTCATCCAGCAACATGCGATCAGCTGTTTTTCGTACTGGCAAATTCTTACAAGTAAAAATTTATCCAGTAAATCCAGTAAAAACTTGCAACTTCAACTGTCATTTTTCGCTCTCTCAATTTCCCCTACTTTGCAAGTTTTTGCGTACGAAAACGCCAGAACATGAAAATTCGTAAAAACTTTTACTGGATTTTACTGGAAATGAGTAAAAAAACGCAACTATTGACTACCTTGTTAGTGAACGGCAGCACTGGTGAAATATCGATTTTAAGTGTAGTTATCGATAGAGCACCAGATTTTTTATCGCAACCACTCTTTAAGCAGTATTTGCATTGTTCAACTGTTGGGATTTTCGCACGTGCGATATTTCAGGAAACTTTTGGGTTCAACACACGCAGGGTTGCACGAAAAAATTGAATGACTAAAAATATCAAAATATAAAAAAATACCAAAATATTCGCCATAAAAAGGCATTTGCATTCTTCAACTTTGCATTCTACTTTTGGTTGAACAGCCTTTCAACTAATCGCTTTCAACAAAGTTTGTCGCCAGCCAACATTTAGCCATACAACTTTATTTTCGTGCAAATTTTCTTTCCCAAAACTGATTTTCGACCTACAGCTTGTGTCCATGTAAAATCTGACAACGAAAACCAGTTTTCGCTGAAATCTACTTGAAAACTCACGTTGCACTCATTCCAATCGGTGTCTGTACTAGTTTGTTTTCGATTATTTATCGAAGTGGAAGTCATATTTTATCATTTTTAATATGCTAGTTCGAATTTATTGTTAATTGACTGGCCGAATCAAAATACTGTTATTTTTTTTTTTTTTTGTATCAAAACTGTAAACAAAGAATGCAAGAAATGTCAACGAAAACAGTAACGGAAGGTGTAAACAGCTTTCAGCCCACAATCCCAAAACTAGTTTTTAAAGTGTTTTCGTTGTCAGTAAGAACATTGTATGTATAGATACAATGGTCGAAAACATGAACCAAAAATACAAGATCACGCCAGCAAGCCAGTATCCTGTTATAATCGCAAAGTTGGGCGATTTTGACATTAGCCGTTTGTTTACATTTGTTCGTTGCTTACAATTTGGTGATGGCTTTTCATTGGCGCATATATATAGTCATATTTAGTACTCAACTAAGTCGAAACTACTTTAAGTCACAACTAAAGCTATTCATAGTCGCCTTAAGCGAAGCGCACATTGGCGCGATTCTGTCGTTGCGAATCCGCAAGCCCAAAAATTACAACAATGCTACCCACACATTTTAAGCGAAGCGCACATTGGCGCGATTCTGTCGTTGCGAATCCGCAAGCCGTCGCTGCGAATTTTTCGAACATTCAATGTTCCTCTCTATTGACGCGTTCGAAACGCAGCTTGCAGCGTTTTGAAGGCGTCAAAGAAGAAGAAGAAAGGTGTCACAGCAATAAAGGCAAAGAAAAAAAAACGTGTAATGTACAAAAACTAATAAAAACGTTCGTAATAATAGTATTTTGTACGATTTGGGCACGCCGAGTGCGAAAATACACGAAATAAAGGGCAAATTGAGTGACTTGTACATCGGAAATCGACGCGAAAAAATCGCACAAGTGTGCGCACGTTTGCGGATTCGAAGTTAACAGCCGAATTCGCAACGTATTCGCAACGATGGAATCGCGCTAATGTGCGCTTCGCTTTAAAGTGTGTTTGCATAGTTCAACTTTGCGTTCAACATTTGCGTTCAACTCGGCGCAGGGTTGCACGAAAAAAAAGTTGAATGGCTAAAAATATCAAAATATGAAAAAATATCAAAATATTCGCCATAAAAAGGTGTTTGCATTGTTCAACTTTGCATTCAACTTTTGGTTGAATGGCCTTTCAACTAATCGCTTTCAACAAAGTTGGTCGCCAGCCAACATTTAGCCATTCACCTTTTTTTTCGTGCAACCCTGCGTTGAGTTGAACGCAATTGTTGAACGCAAAGTTGAATAATGCAAACACTGCTTTAGTTTCGACTTTTCTGGCTAAGTACCAACTTAAATTTTAGTTTCGGCTGCAGCTGCAACTTAAGAGCGAAATACACCACACAAGCGGTTTGACAAACCAAGCGAAATTTCCCTTTGCTTCAAGCCATTTGTGCTGTGTATGGGGGTGTTTGAAGGTTTGACAAACCGCCGTCAAACCTTCAAACACCCCCATACACAGCACAAATGGCTTGAAGCAAAGGGAAATTTCGCTTGGTTTGTCAAACCGCTTGTGTGGTGTATTTCGCTCTTAAGTCGTAACTAGGAAGAAGTATTTTATCAAATTAAGGGAAAACACACGTAATATGTAAAAATTAAGTTGGTAGAGGGTGATTTTGTTTGATTGTAAAATACTTTAATATTTTTTTGATATTTTTAGGCATTTAGCCTGAAAGTTACCAAATGACATCGGAAGCTTCCAAATTACCAAAGAGAATAAATGCTACGAATTTTGGTTTTATTTTACCAAAGTGGCAGCCGTGCTTCGAAGTAAAGGTATCGATACCTGCATGGTATCGTTTCATCTCTAGCTCCTATTCGCAATTCTGGCAACGCTACGACTCTTGAAATTTTCTCGATCGATCGGCTTTATGATACATAATTTTTGCGGTCAAGAAATTTTTCAGTATTTCGTTAATAAACCTTGATTAAACCATAAAATTTTATAAATAACTAGCGCAGATCAATCGGAAACAATGGCTGACATAAAATCTGTTTTCCACGAGTGGTGTTCAAAGACCAAAGTGGATCCAAAATTTGAAGTTCGCCAGACTGGTAAGAGCATGCTGACATAAAATGGCTGCTGCAACCATGTTTGCACGCCTATTTTTAACAACATAACCTTAACTTTGTCTACACGCAGGTCCAAAGCATCGCCAACGATTTCTCTGTGAAGTGCGTGTGCCAAATTATCCTTACGTGGCGGCCGGTAATTCCACCAATAAAAAAGATGCCGAACGCAATGCAGCTCGTGATTTTATGAGCTTCTTGATACGTACCGGAAAAGTTAACGCGGCTGATATACCTGCAGACTCTGGTTTAGCAGCTATTGCGCCAGCATCTAGTGTAGGAAACGACGGTGGCGGTGATAGATATGGTTCGCAACGTAAATTTTTTGATGGCGGCTTGGGGCCGCAGGATCTTGGTCAAGCTTATCGGCCGGTTGAGCGTGAAATCAATCCCGTCGATAGAGCACGTGAGCAGATGGAAATGAAGGAAGCTGAGTCAGTTGATGTTAATGCCGCGATACATGGAAACTGGACAATTGAGAATGCCAAGGCAAAGCTACATCAGTTTATGCAAATGAATAAAATAACCGCAGACTATAAGTATACGCCAGTAGGCCCCGATCATGCCAGGTATGAAAATGGGTTTTTTGTGATTATTTGTATCTCAATTGTATGTAAATTTCGATTTAAGTGGGCTCACCTCTTCGATTTTAAATCGAAAAATCCAAGAGGAAAGCTTTGTTATAGTACAGGGTGTACTCGAGACTGTACAAATACTAAGCATTGGTCCCCTTTTTAACAAGCTTTTCTGTGCACGTGACAAATACTCAAGCTGGACTATTTGTGGAAAAAACTGCTCATAAAACTCTGCAGCTAAAATTTGACAAATTTTTTTGGGCATGATTAAAGTGATTAAAATAAATTTTTTGCGGCATAGTTTTAGGTGTGTTTTTTTTTGACAAATAGTCGAGCTTGACAAATTTTTAGATAGGATGTGCATTAGAGTGGTCCAAACAAATTTTTTCCATGATAGGGTTTGGGGCACCTTCCAACATTTTTCCTCTTGCCGCAAGAGGCGCTCGTACCAAACCTTATGTTTCTATGTATAAATTTAGAGGATGCTCATGATGCTCATATTTCACTCTAGAAGAAAAAATTGGTGAAGTAAACTAAGAACATCTTAAAATTAAATTATCTAAAAACTATTACAGCCTTCAGTTGTCCTGGCAACAGTAGCTTTTTATAAAAACCACCAATATTTTTGCCAGTTTCACAGCGATCTAGTAGCACATTTCAAGGTCATTGAGCACCCTGTATTGGTTGCAGCAGAAAACTGAAAGTTGGTACGCATGTATATGTAGATATTACAAATATCAAAAGGAATAAACTAGTCTTGGGTAGTATTGAGTACTTTTGAGGATCGAGTACTTTAGCATCGACACTTAAGGAACGGGTATTTTTGAGAGTACTGAGTACTTTCTTTAAATATGCACATGTTGGTAGTGCTTAAGGCCCATGAACCAAAAAGACAAGATCACGCGGGCAGGAGACTAGCCCGTTAGAATCGCATTTAGGAAAAAAGTTGAACGATTTTGACATTAGCCGTTTGTTTACATTTCTTCGTTGTTTACAATTTGGTGGTGGCTTTTTACTGCAATTTTCTTCATTTTCGCTTGCGACAACGTGTGTACACATAAGTTAAAGAATAATTTAACACAACGGCATGATTTATAGAAGAATTTGCATAATAAAAATGATTTTTCATGCGTTCAACAATTTCGCGGTTTTCTCCATTTACATGGCCAGGTCACCATTTACACGGGCGAGTTTTCCAGAGCAATGTTGAATGTTGAAAGCTAGCCTTATACGGTCTTCAAACGAGGCGATATTCCAGGCGATTAGTTGAATCAAAAGATGGCTGTACCCCATCTTCATTGGAAGCGATTAGTTGAAAGTCCGTTCATACCAGGCGATTGTTGCTTTCAACTAAAAGTTGCCTGTAAAATCGCCTCATGTGAACACCGTATAAAATAATACCAATTTCCTTCCTGAAATGCTCGAATTCTTCGTAAGCGTGTTCACAATTCCCTCTGCATTTTTGCGATTATGTAAGCCCCCTCTATTTTGCCGAGCCTTTCTTTCGAGCAACACGTCGGTCGACTTTGAACTGTTCAAGTGCTCATTCTTTTTCTTCCCCACAGTAAATGTTAATCCATTTACACACGGCGATTTTTGTTGCCGCAACTCGACGTTTGTGGGAGAGAGCGTGACGAGGAAAGGAGAGGGGCACCGAGTTGCTCGTGCTCGGGCAACACGCTTTGTGCTCTCGTTCGTCTGTGTAAATTGAGTTAGCGGTTCACAGCTGACAACAACAATTGCATACACAAATCTCCGTGTGTAAATGAAACGAACAACACAGTCTATGCAGCTCTCAAGAAAAGCAAAAACTCCATATGAAATGACGTACAAGAAATGGTTAAGAAATTTTCTTGTGTCAAATTTCCTTAACGCATTACGCAGCTCGTAAGAAATTTGCTAAGTTTTCTAGTACGCTTTTATTAAGTTTTTTTTTTGCGAAAAAAGAGCTCAAGGCAACCCATGTTTGCAACAGAAATATATGCCCGTGCCATTATTTCTGGAGGAAAGAGTGAGGCAACAGGCTGGTGAAGTATCAGATGTACAAATTCCTTGGACATACACACGAAATAATAGACATTTTTTAGAGTAGAGTAGAAATCTCACAAGCTGGCAGCACTTTATTCAAATTGGTATTGTACTTGAAAACTATTGAAGCTTCAAATTGAGTAGCATCATTTCTGAATACCGGTAAATGTAAAGAAAACTCAGTACTTATACAGAGTATGTTTGAGTACTGAGTACTTTCAAGTTCCTCTGTGAGTACTGAGTACTTTCGAGTGCCTCTGTGAGTACTGAGTACTTTCGATTTCTTTTTTGAGTACTGAGTTCTTTGGAGTACTCAGTATCGATACTTCTAAAAATCGAGTGCGGTCGGTCCTTTTGAGCATTGAGGTTTGAGTACTTTTGGTATCGATACTGCCCAACACTTCTAAAAACTACGGGGGTGCCCCATTTTCTAGGATGAAATTTTTTCCCCATACAAAAATTAGACCACTCTAATGTTCATGTACATATGTACCTTTCCTATAGTGTGGTTTAGAAATAAAAGAGACTGATGCTTAGTATTTTTTACATATGTATATGAATTCACCCACACTTTACGAGCACCCATGGCAGGTTTCATGTTTTGGTGGCAGATGCCTTAGTAAATGCGATTGAAAATAGAAATATTGTACGGAAAATGCGAATGAGGCACTGTGCGATACTTTGCAAGGTTCAAAGCATGATTATAGATATATAGTAGGATTGACTGAATGAAAATGCGGATATTTTCAACCTTCGATCGGATGAAAGTTTTCGCAATTTTTTTTGGGATTTTAGGATTTCAATTAATGATTTGTGCGTAAGCTAGTGACATTGTTATCATAAGGTTTCTGAATGCAAACATGTTACTTGTTTCGGCGTTTGAAAATGTTTATATAACAAAGTCTATAGAAGAACACAATAATATGATTTTTGTTATATAGGTTCTTCACACCCAGCTTGGTACTGGTTAGTTTTTCACCATGCATTTTGTTTTTGTAGATTAGATTTTTCGAGATTACGACCAAGCTTTTTAGTTTTCTTGTACTTGTGAAAGTAAAACATCAACGAAGAATTTGCTTTTAATTATGGCTGTGCGGTCATTCGATTACTCGAACAAGTTGGTTAAACAGTTGTTCGGTTAATCAATTACTCAAGTAATCAAGATTTTAAAAACTCAAAACGATGATTAAGCAAGTTATTTAAGACATGTTGACTCAAAAAATTATAATTTTGCTTGTTAAAAGAGTTTGCTTTGGAAAATGCTTAACTTCTTTTTTATAATGGGCCGTATGAATCAAAAACTAACACTTTCCACACACGACGTACATGTACGCGAGCATGCTCGCCAACATGCTCGCTGTCCTTTGCTACAGACGGTGAGCGGCTCATATGTGATTTTGTCGTGAAAGCGTAAGTAAAGACGCGGATGATGAAATTGCAATGCTTTTGATTTAGGTTATTTAATACTCATTGCTTGGATGCATTTATCCGCCGATGAGCACACTGCAAGCATAAACACAAAATGAGGTTGTTTTTTTTTTTTCAATGCAATGCTCGCAAACCGCCCCACAGACGACGAACAACCACCGCAAGCACGAAAATGCTCGCTCACATGTTCGTCGTGTGTGGCCAGCTATTGCTTACAAGCTTTTTCTTAACATTTCAGACCTTTTACTCGCTTTATTCAAACAAATTCAAGTAAAAGGTCTGTAATTTTAATAAAAAAAAGCAATTGCATCGTTTTTTATTAATGTGGCCCAATGTGTATACATATGAAAAAAATATTTCATTTAATAAAAATAACAAGGACTTTTACTTCTTTATATATAAAGAGTAATTTGAAAATTTGATTACTCATTTTAGTCATAGTGGTGATTAATCATAAAGCAAATTTTAGTTTTTGGTTAATCCAATTCTTGATTACTCGAGTAACTGATCTTTTCAGTAATCATAATTTCCAATTAATCGAATAATTGAGCTCTTAATTAAAAAAAAAAAAAAATCCATGAACCGCACAGCCCTACTTTTAATGTTTCAAAATGCCATTAATATAATTTTAAACTTATATTTATTTATTACTACATAGAAAAAACAGCGTTAAGTATAAAAAAATAAATATAAAAGCCATCTTATCGCTTTGCGCTGCAGCTGCATCTATCTGTCAAAACGAATCTGCCACGCAAAGCGAAGCAAGCGTTTTATCTGGCATCAGCTTAAATTTTGAAAAAAAGTGGACTAGGCATTTTTTCACCTTTAGGTAGCGATATGCACTATGCTAAAATGTACGTTCATAGTTAAAAATGTTTCCGAGTGAGAACTAACATTTTACCACAATTACCGAAATGTGTGTGAAGACCTCTATTGTTCATTTAACGCTGTGTACAGATATCAGTTTTTAATTTTGAATGATATTTTATAATTCATGTAGTAATTGGGTATTCTTGAGTTTGCAAAGTACCGCATAATGCCACAGCCATTGAAGAGAATAATTCTAAGGCCTGTATTCTCAACACCAAAATAGCCACTGGGTAAGTAAAAAATATACCGCAAAATTAAGCTTAATTAGAATAAAAAATGCACGAGAGTTTACTGAAGTGGTCGGGGAAATTATAAAACTATTAAATGAAAAAAAGTGTATAATTAATTTTATCTCAACGAGTTTAAATTTAAATGCAATGTCATTTTAAATTAAAATATTTTCAATGAATAAAAATAATGTCGATTTTAAATTTTTGTTCTAAACTTTTTACATATGTACATACATACGCATGCATTAATTAATTTAAATTCTTTCTGTTTTCGATCTCTTTTTCGTTGTAACATAAATAATACTATAGGAGTTTCATGGCTGAGATGCATATTTTCGTACGTCAATTAAAGCGTACGGTTACAGCACGTGAGACGGGGTCCAACAAACAATCGGCAAGTAAATCTTGCGCCTTGTCGTTGGTGCGGCAACTTTACCATTTGGGTGTAATCGAAGCATTTAGTGGCACACTAAAGCAACGAAAAGACGATGAAGACATGAAGCCATATCCCGTAAAAATTTCGGAAGATCTCATTCAGAGAGTTAATGAATGCATCCAAGATCTCGATCTTCCAGTTATTAATCCATTTAATATAAAACCAGAAGGCGAGAATGCTGGCGTAAGCTTACTTGTAAGTAAATACATAAACATTTAATAGGCATAATGTTCCCATACTTAGAATTTTTTTTTTATAGGTGCCCACTCACAGAGATGTGAAACGCCAAGCAAATGATGATGGAATGCAGATGCAAGGTTCTGTTATACCTTGGGCTCCACCACAGCCAAATTGGAATGCATGGAATGCATGCAATATCGACGAAGGTTATCTGGCCACAGCATCTTTGGAGGACCTTTGCAACGATCTCGAAGTTACATCTAAAGATAAGAAAATGAATAATACCGAACTTCAGAAGTTTATTGACTTCCGTGAGCGCTTACCGATCGCTGCGATGCGCAATGAAATAATGTCGCACATACATGAGCATCCTGTTGTTATCATACGCGGCAACACTGGTTGCGGCAAAACCACACAAATTGCTCAATATATTCTAGAGGATTACATTGCATCAGGTCAAGGCGCCTTTTGCAATATCTATGTAACCCAGCCACGCCGCATATCAGCGATTTCAGTGGCAGAACGTGTTGCCGCCGAGCGGTGCGAAAATCTTGGCGAATCTGTCGGTTATTCTGTTCGCTTCGAAACGGCTACACCGCGCCCTTATGGAGCTATACTCTTTTGCACTGTTGGTGTGCTTTTGCGCAAACTCGAAGGCGGCTTGCGTGGCATTTCGCACATTATTGTAGATGAAATCCACGAACGTGACGTAAATAGTGATTTCTTGTTGGTTATTCTACGTGATATGGTGCATACTTACCCCGATCTACATATTATACTAATGTCTGCTACGATTGATACAACGCTATTTTCCGATTACTTTGGTCGTTCTCCAGTTTTGGAAGTCCCTGGACGAGCCTTCCCAGTTCAACAATTCTTTCTGGAAGATTGCTTAGAAATGACCAAGTTCAAGCCCACGCCTGAGTCTCGTAAGAAAACCAAAGAACGCGATGATGACGAGAAGGCTGTGATTGCTGAAAATGGGGAGGATGCCAATGATCAGAATCTGAACAAAATTTGCGATCCGAAATACTCGCAGCAGACAAGAGAAGCTATGGCAATATTGTCCGAGTCTGAATGCTCGTTTGAGCTTATTGAAGCTTTGTTGATACACATTAAATCAAAGAATGTACCAGGCGCTGTGCTTGTCTTTTTGCCTGGTTGGAACTTGATTTTCGCCCTAATGAAATATTTGCAGAATTCACAGTTCGGAGGACCGCAGTATCGCATCTTACCATGCCATTCGCAAATTCCGCGGGAGGAACAGAGAAAAGTTTTTGAACCAGTACCGATGGCGTAACTAAGGTTATAATACAAAAAATTTTTTTTTGATAATGTACTATTTTTGATTTTACTAAATCTATTTTATTTTATGTACTAAATATTATCAATCACTATGCGTGGTCATACATTAAACTTAATACAAAATTGTCTTCTTCCAGATCATTTTGTCCACTAATATCGCCGAAACATCTATCACCATTGACGATATTGTCTTCGTAATTGACATTTGTAAAGCACGTATGAAGATGTTTACTTCACATAACAATTTGACTAGTTACGCTACCGTGTGGGCCGCAAAATCAAACTTGGAACAACGCAAAGGTCGAGCTGGTCGCGTTCGTCCGGGTTTCTGTTTTACTCTCTGCTCACGAGCTCGTTTCGAGAAATTAGAAGAAAGTATGACACCGGAAATATTTCGCACTCCATTGCATGAATTGGCTCTTTCGATTAAGCTTTTGCGCCTAGGCTCCATACATCAATTTCTATCAAAGGCATTGGAACCACCACCACTCGATGCGGTAATCGAGGCTGAGGTGCTTCTACGAGACATGCGTTGCTTAGATGATAATGATGAGTTAACACCACTGGTCGTATTTTAGCTCGATTGCCGATTGAACCTCGATTGGGTAAAATGTTGATATTAGGAACGGTATTCGGTTGCGGAGATATTTTGGCCAGCATGGCATCATATTCAAGTACTTTCTCCGAAATATTCGCATTGGATATTGGCCAGCGACGTTTAGCAAATCATCAAAAGCAATTGGGCGGACGTAAATGTTCTGATCACGTCGCCATGATTGTAGCCACACAAATGTGGGAAGGTGCAAAGCATCGTGGGGAAGAAGAAGAGATAAGGTTTTGCGAATGGAAAGGTTTACAGTTGTCAACTATGCGAGTGATGTCCGAAGCGAAAGGACAACTTCTGGACCTATTGCAACAAACTGGGTTTCCAGAGGAGTCAATGATTTCACACAAAGTTGATGCTAATTCCGATGATCCTGTGCTGGATATGGCCACAGCTCTGCTCTGCTTAGGTCTTTATCCAAATGTGTGCGTACACAAGGAGAAACGTAAAGTTTTAACTACAGAATCGAAAGCTGCTCTGCTGCACAAAACCTCGGTGAACTGTAGCAATCTGGCGGTAACATTCCCTTATCCTTCTTCGTTTTGGTGAGAAGATACGAACTCGCGCCGTGTCCTGCAAACAAATGACAATGGTAGCTCCACTACACTTACTACTTTTCGGCTGTCGTAAGGTGGATTATGTTAAGGACAATGTAATACGTTTGGATAATTGGCTTAGCTTCGAAATGGACCCTCAACATGCTGCAATGCTGGCGGCCCTAAAACCTGCTATAGAAAATTTGGTAACTATAGCATGCGATAGCCCAGACGAAATTATGCAGCTTGAAGAGCCCCAAGCGAAGCTTGTGAGCGTTATAAAAGATGTGTGTGTTATGAACGCAGGCGATTTTGGTATATCAAGAGAGACTGGTGTATTGCCGTTCCAATCGCGTCATGGTGGTGGTGGTGGCGGTGACGGTGGCCCACCAAGTAAACGGGGACGTTTTGAAGGAGTAAGCGGCGGCGGTGGTGGCTGGAACCGTGGTGGTGGAAATTGGAGCAACGGTGGAGGTGGCGGTGGTAATTGGGGACGTGGAGGCTTTGGACGAGGTGGTGGCGGCACGAATCAATGGGGCCGCTTTGGTGGTGGTGGCAGAGGCAGATTTTAAAGAAATTTATAAATACCATAGATTCCCATTACAATATTTAAATATATTATCATATTTAATTGCTAATAAATACTTATACGCTACAGAAGTTATAACTATTTTTGAAATTTATATAAAGTTAACTGAAATGTCCAAAATAACGTTAAATTTAAACAAACTCCATTTTTTTTTGTTGTTGTTTGGGAGATAATACACCTGTTGTCGCTACTTTTACTCATCACATTGTTGCTGGCAATCCTTGCTGCAAAAAAACCGTTTGGCGTGCACATAGGTCGCCTCTTCTTCGCAGACGCGACACCAGCGCTTCCTTTTAATTTCAACCTCCTCCACCTGCAGTTCGTGAGCCGCTGTTGCAGCCCAGCTACTTCGGCTTCAAGCTCAATATTTGCTGTTGATATCGAGGAACAAATAATATACCAGGCGGGACTGGTCGTTGATTTTTTCAATCATTGCTCTTGTTTGTTTTAGCTAAGGTTTGGCGGCTTCCGCATTTTTAAACAGTAGCGATTAATTTTAAACTCGGTCCGTTCGAAGAAAAACTGTTATTTTCTAGCCTTTGCGGTTAGCAAAACTTTTTGCGGACGCTGATCTTGTCGTGCGCCTAGGGACAGACGCAACTCTCCATTTGGGCTTATTATTTTTTACTGGCCTGGACCAATTGGAGCCCGTGTCCGTGATGTTAATGGAGAGGATTGACTGGTGGATTCACTCAATTCGGGAATAATATTGTGCATTTTTGTGATGCGCTTATTTGAAGAAGGGGAAAACAACTTTGAAAAGCTCCCGCCGCCTACTCTGAAAAACAAAAATACCCATGAGTTGCCATACTTTTAACACACGGAACTTTCTAACCTCAAAATTAAGAAACAAGTGAAGTATTATAAAAACGTCCAACGACGATGACTACAAAAGTTGGGATATTCACAACGGTGCCGTATAGTTGTATGTAGCAAACGCCTAAAAAATATATTAAAGGGCTCCGTAAAGTACCATCAAAGTCATATTGTGAATTTTTGCGGTGTTAAATAATAGTTGGTTGTCGTTTCAAGTTCTCTAAGCATTTAATTAAGCTTTTAAAGTTTACGACATACAACAATACGACACTTACGACACCTTTGTGAATCCCTCAAGTGTATTTTTATAAATCCGCAGAGACCTTTAATAGTAAGTTTTAAATTTTAGATAAATAAGCAAAAACGTTCACATAATCAAATTAAAAGGGTATTTCGTAAAACATGAATTTACGCATAGCTGGCATCACCCCACTGATTGCAATTCCTTTTTCCTCTTTCTAATGTCATCTTGGAAAAATGAAGCGACGAACGTGAAAAGTTAATGCTTGTGTAGTGAAAATTTCTGAAATATATCGAATAATTGGTTAAAAATAACTTAAAATGTGTTAAAAGTATAGAAACCTAGCCAGTGCTAAAAACAAGCATAAAGTTTTGGTGATCTTTTGTTGGAATAGTGAAATATTTCGATTGATTTGTAATCACACTGCCGCCAGGACGAAAAATCGATATTTGCAGGCAGTGGCTATAAAAAGTAATTTCCAAGCAAAATTTGCTAAATAATGGTAGGCCTACTAGATCCATTGAAATATGGCGCACATTTTTATGAATTATACACCAGTAATACCCGGCGGTAAGTAAAAATATTGTGAAAATATACGATATGAAAATTATAGGATTTCGTCGCCGCGACGCTGTGCGGCAAATTATCGATTTATCAAAGAACGTAATAAAAGCAACCCTTAAAAGAACGTCTAGGCTATTGACATCTGGCAGTCAGCTGGAAATGCAAGAATGTGGTCAAAACAAAGAGAGCCCGATAAGCGTTTTGTAGGTCAGGAAGCCGGGAAATAGTGCACAGCTGTTTTTTGCTTATTGTTTTGACGGCGATGCTGCGTTGTTGTTGTGGTTGAGTAATGGCCGTAATGGGTTTGTTTATATTTACATTTTTGTTCAAGGTCACGCGGCGTCAATGACACGAATATTTGCGTGCCGCGCATGACCTTAAATTGAAAAAAAAAAATGTTTTACGTGTTGCAATGCACATAAATATACATACCCATGTACACGCATACATATGCATTTGTATACTACACCTGTCTGACCCAATTGCATCTGGTATACGTATGTATGGGCAAATCCCAGCGTTCGGCCTTTTCTTTGGGTACGGTTTACTTATTTGTGGTACTTTTCCACACACTTGTAGACAAGAGTCTACGCTTTCTTTAAAAAGAATATACTATATCTGTGCACTATCTGGAGGCCAAACCGCTGCCCCTCCGCCCCCAACACCAGAATCGTTACACATATAGCTCAAAATAAAGGCAGCGTATTCCAATTTGGAACGCACAAACGCAGTATATAGCATCTTAATAGTATAAGGGTCAGTGAACTCGGAAGAATGACGCCTAACGAATGCCAGCATGGCAAAAGAATCAGCAATAGTTTTGTTTATGTGCAGAGTGAAAGTGAGTTTTGAGTCGAAGTGTACTCCAAGATCTTTAGTCTCTCTTTTCGAGTCGAGGACAATATCTGCGATGGAGTAAGATGTCGTAAGAGGTACTTTTGATTTATAATAGGATAATTTGTGGCATTTATTGATGTTGAGGGTAAGCCGATTCTGAACACACCACGTATAAAACCTGTTAAGCTGCGATTGAAGTTCGGCCGAGTCTCGTGAGCAACTGATTTCCGAATATATTTTCAGATCATCGGCAAACAAGAGAAACCTAACATTTGAAAGACAGGAGCTGATGTCGTTAATGAAAAGAATAAAAAATAATGGGCCTAAGATGCTTCCCTGAGGAACCCCTGAGAGAGCAGTAAATGGCTTGGACGAAACACCATCAATAGTCACCTTGCTAGTTCTCAAGCGCAAGTAGGACCTGATCCACTCCAAGAAACCTGAGTGGATTCCTAAACATTCTAACTTTGTTAATAAGATATTGTGGGAGATTTTGTCGAAGGCTTTCGAAAAATCTGTGTAAATCACATCCAGTTGAAAGCCATTACGGAAAGTTGAAAAGCAATCATCGGTAAAAATTGCAAGGTTTGTCACCGTGGATCTACCAGATACAAAGCCATGTTGGTTTGGGCAGATCAAGTGCTTGACAATAAAATAAAGTTTAGCTTTGACGATATTTTCGAATATTTTGGCGACTGTGGATAATTTACTAATCGGCCTATAGTTCTCAACATCGCACTTATTGCCTGTTTTGAAGGCTGGCATGATTGACGTTCTCTTCCAGTCAGCAATAAACAAACCCTCGGAAAGAGATTTATTGAAGATTTGCAATAGAGGCTTCACTAGGGAAACACAATTCTTGAACAAGATGGCTGAAAAGCCATCTGCGTCCATCTGAGATGAGTTTTTTATATTTTTGATACCCTTGTTGTTGTTGTTGTAGCAGCATACAAATTCCCCAAAGACTTTTTGGGGAGTGTTGCTGGAGTGACAGTCCTTGGCCAGATATAAATCTGGGTCGTTCCGGTTACGTAGACCCGACTGTCGTGATACCCTCGATAATATCGTCTTCCGTTAAAGAAAGCGAACCCAGGTCCACGGTAGAAAACGCGATATTTGAATAGTTTTTCGAATAATTCGAATTTGCCTGCAAATTAATTATATATTATAAGGGAAGGAAACAGTGGATTGGCTATCATATAATGCACCAATTGCTTTTTCATGCATTCCACGGCAAGGCGGAAAGAAGAATTCGGTTAATTAAGGGTTATGATCCTGAAGCACGGCACGAAGGCCATCCACAGTTAACAAAAATACAGTGGAGAAGCAAACTAAAGGTTAAATTAACTTTAAAACATTTGTATATCGAGTGCTGAGTGGAAGTTCGACCTAACTCGGCAGCCAGTCCGAAAACGCCCTTTCTCAAAAAACTTGTTAAGAACGCCCTCAGCTGGCGATTTAAAAACGCCCTATATCAGTACATTTTCAACACATTTTGAAGAGAGATAGGGCGTTTTTGAACCGAATTCTGAGATAGGGTGTTTTTCAATAAAATTCGAAAGTAGGACGTTCTTGAAAAGTTTTTTGAGATAGGGCGTTTTCGGACTGACTGCCGAGATAGGTCGATCTTCCTCAGCAGCCGATATGTTCGTTCGAAACATTACGTTGGGGATGTCACTCTTTTTACCGTTGAGAAATTTGTTTTTTTTTTTAAAGCGATATTGTGTTCATTTACTAAAACATAGTGCTTAAAACTAAGGATATTCACAGTTTTTCCTGGTTTTCAGAGGTAAGATTGGCAAATGAGATTTCGCTTATGTGAAAATAAATATGAAATTAATAATATATGTATTTGCATGTACATACATATATAAATATGTAGCTAATACTTAAATACTCTTGAAACATTGATCGCACACATTACAATAAAAAAGTTCAACGGGGTTGTTATCACATGACATGAAATATTACCTCTAAAGCAGAAGTAGGCAGCCTCGGCTGAGCATTTTTGTAGTGTGCATGCAATTGATGTCACTGTATGCGTGCGAATAAGTTAACAATTGTTCAGTTGAATGAAGCTTTCGCTGCATTCTCAAGCAGAACGTACAGTATCGGTCATATCTATAGTACGCCATTTCAAAGTGATATTGTGTGCCACATGTTTATTTATTTATTTTTAAGAATTTTCAATTAAAATACAGCTCTTTCTCTAACAAACCCCATATAAACCCAAGTTTAACAATTTGTAGAAAACTTCAAAAAAGTGCAACAAATTTTCATCTAAGTTTCAAACTTTTTTCTCGGAAGTGTTAGAATTTTTTCGAGTACACAGTTTTTTAGCCACTGCAATTTTAGTCTGATAATGTGCCAGTTTCAAGTGGCTACGAATTACCGTTAACTTTTTAGAATTTTTTTTTGTCGCATTGGCTTCCATATAATGAATAAACTCAATTTATTTGTATATGGATGAAAACCGCAACACCTTTGGAGAAAAAATAAAAAGTTAACGGTAATTCGTAGCCACTTGAAACTGGCACATTATCAGACTAAAATTGCAGTGGCTAAAAAACTGTGTACTCGAAAAAATTCTAACACTTCCGAGAAAAAAGTTTAATATAGGTGAAAATTTGTTGCACTTTTTTGAAGTTTTCTACAAATTGTTAAACTTGGGTTTATATGGGGTTTGTTAGAGAAAGAACTGTATTTTAATTGAAAATTCTTAAAAATAAATAAATAAACATGTGGCACACAATATCACTTTGAAATGGCGTGCTATAGATATGACCGATACTATAAAATTCTCAAAAATAAATAAATAAACATAGGTTGCACACAATGTCACTTTGAAATGGCGTGCTATAGATATGACCGATACTGTATATGTATACACGGCCGCTCTAGCTGCCAGCTGGGCTCTAAAGCGTTAGTCTGTACCGGGAAATCAAATTGATTCAGCTTTACCATGGACTGGTCAGAAACGAGAATCATTTTCAAATCGCCGTCCCCGCTCGGTATTAGTGGCATGTGAATAAAACTGTTTGAGGAGGCCGGAGATGTTATAAACTACCACAGGTCGGGCCAGTCCACGCACAGTTCGAATGTTGCAAGCATCGAAGCTGCCAAATCCAGAATTCAGGAAAATCCGCTCCGAAAATATGAATACATGGACCGAGACGAATTATTAACAAGTAATTTTTGAGCAAAAAACACAACCGCTTCAACTCTTCATGAGCCAATGATCGTATCTGAACCACCCTCGAGGTACCACCGTTCCGATATAAAAAGAATTATTGAAATCGGTTTAAATGGTCCAAATTTATGTGGTAACGTATACAAAAAAATATTCCCACGAATTGATGATGCCTTTCTCCTTTTTTATGTCCGTTAAAAAATACTTGGCACTTGGGGCTCTACAAAGCATTTCTTGACTGCAACTTTGAAACAAATAGGATGGAAAAGGCTAACATCTTTTCGTGAAGCACACTGATAACTTGCACAGAAAAATTTTGTTTACAGATGATAAAATTTTTACGGTGCGGGAAAAATGTAACAAGCATCGCCTAAGCGATTTTGGCCGAGTTCAACAAAGTACGCCAGTCGTTTCTCTTCTGTGCCAACTGACGCCAATTGGAAATGCCAAGTGAAGCCAAGTCCTTCTCCTCTTTCCCAGCTACCACCGGCGGGTTTCGAGTTGAATACTTTCAGAGCTGGAGCGTCGGAGTCCATTCGAAGATATGGCCAAGCCAGCGGAGCCGCTGTATTTTAATTCGCTGCACTATGTCCATGTCTCGTCGCTGCGGTACTCGCAATCGCCAACGCGCAAAGGCCCATACATCTTCCGCAGATTTTTTTTCTCGAAAACTCTAAGAGCCGCTTCATCAGATGTTCTCATTGTCCATACCTCCGCGCCATACACCAGCACAGGCATGATGAGTGACTTATAGAGTGTGATTTTTGTACGACGAGAGAGGACTTTACTTCTCAATTGCCTACTCAGTCTAAAGTAGCACTTGTTGGCAAGAGTGATTCTCCGTTGGATTTCAAGGCTGACATTATTATTGGTGTTAATGCTGGTTCCCAAATTTAACGAAGTCGTCTACTTTCTCAAACTTGTAACTGTCAACAGTGACATGGGTACCAAGACGAGTATGCTCTGACTGCTTGTGTGA